TGGTTTCGGACCGGACGACGCTGGGCGGCGCAGGGCGGCACAATTCAGTACCCCCCAATAATACGTGAGTAGACCGCGCAAGGAACTGGCATGGAAGAGCTTCAATCGCCAAGTTTAGACTCTTGGTGAACAACTCTTTTTCAGGTGGGTAAACAGTTTGGTCCACAGACATGACGGACGCAAGCGAGTCTGTGAGCTGTATCCGACTTTCGTCGAAATCAACGTCAACAGCGGCAGGGTTCTGTTTCAAAGGAGTCAAAGATACAGTCGCACCGGAGGAGCTGTTCAATTTAGAAGGCAGTTAAGGCAAGAAAAATTCCGAACGAGGGGATGATGGACCCGCAATGTCTCCGAATGTTTCCGAAATTTGGAAAATAAACATGTTCTAGAGATTTTTCGAAAATACGCAAAAATATACAGTTAAAACCCATTTTAAGGCCGATTTTCGGATGACAGCGAATTGCAAAAGTGGTCTTAAAATGGATATTTTTTGTCTCGAATTGGATGAAAAAAATTTTTTTCATTCTTTGGAAAAAAAAATGATGAATGAGGGTTAAGGGTAATGGACCTATGGTATACTATGGTATACTAATGGTATACATCGGCGCGGCGCCGCTTGCTCGATCCGCTCTCCGCAAGAACCTATTTCTCACGAGGCCGTGTGCGCTCTTTTGAAAAGAGAGTTATTCTCGCCCGCGCCTCTCCGCTTCCTATTTCTCGCGGCGCGCTCCCGCTGCGCTCTTTACAAATTGCGATGTAAAATTAATGAAAGCTTAAAACAAAAATCTAAAACACAGAAATTCTAGAGCTGACGATTCTCTACAAGACAGTCAAATTTTCAAAAAATTTGGATGAGAAATTATGGAGAAAATGTCATTTGAAGGAAACTGGCACTTTTCACATTGTTCCTCTTTGAAAATTGTTTTAATTTTCGATCAGTTTATAGAAGAGACTTTGAGGATTCCAAATCTGTTTGAATCTCAAGAAAATCTCGATCCGTTCAGATTTTACGGCCTCGTGAGAAATAGGTTCTTGCGGAGCGCGGATCGAGCGAGCGGCGCCGCGCCGATGTATACCATTACCCTTAAAGGGGTGGCGGGCGCCCAGGTTCACAATCGGTTGGTTCACAATTTTGTGAACCCGGTTCACAATTTTGTGAACCTGGTTCACAATTTCGGTCAAAAAAAGTGACTGAAATTGACTGAAGGCGCGGTTGTAAAGAAAGCTCATAACGTCAAAAATGAGTTTCTCTATGAAATCAGGCGCGGAGCGCATACAGACCCCTGATTTCATACTTTTAAAAATTTTGTGAACCGGGTTCACACAGATTGTGAACCGGGTTCACAAAATTGTGAACCTGGTTCACAATTGTGAACCTGGGCGCCCTACACCGCATATCGCATATTTCTTTCGCTGAAGAAAGTGTAAATCATGGACTTTTTCCAAATGTGTCTTTTGAATTGAACTCAAGGTGATTCTTTTTTTTCATTATTTCAAAAATAATATTCGAAGAACACGTCTGAAAAAAGATAAACATGACAAATGCTAAGAAAAACGATATGAAGAGATTCTAGTGAAGACCTCAAAGAACAGTGACGTGGAGAAGACAATTACTGAGCTTTTTCGATAGAAAAATGGTCTGTAAATTCGTCTGCGTGTATATACACGCCTATTTAATGATAGATTGGAACTCTTGGACTCAAATCTATGTGAAAATTTGAAGAGAAAAAATCATCAAAGAGTACCGAAAAAGAGAAATAAAAAGTATCATTTTTTACCAACTCTTGATTAAACACAAGACATCCCGCAGTCGAATAATATAAGTTTTTTCAGGTGACACTGCAACTTTCAGATATTGAATAGAAATTGAAAGAAAGTGGTCTTAAAATGGATTTGTTGAGGACATTTTTTATTTTGTTTATTATGTCCGTTTGTTTATAATGTCCGTTTTGTTTATAATGTCCGTTTGTTTATAATGTCTGTTTGTTTATAATGTCCGTTAACCGTTGAGGATGACAGATTTTGAGGATTTTCCGAAAAAGTGGCCTTAAAAGGGCAGGCCTTAAAATGGGTTATCACTGTAAATAAGCTAAAAAATATTGTTTGATACTGTAAAAATGATTTTCTTTTTTAAAATCCGTAGAATTAAGCGCTCCGCGCAATTTGTGGTAGAAAACTCATTGATCAGATAGGTAACCCTCTCATTTACACGCCTTCTATTGTACCGACAAAATTAAGATATTCGTAGTTTCTAGAACATTTTTGTTATTTTCGGAGACATTCGGAGACATTCCCAGGGAAAAAGAAAACTCGTGGTAAAGAGGAATTTTTTTAGATTGAAAATGGAAGCTCGTTGGCAGCGCGTGAATTTGCGCTTGTTCTTGGACAACTTTCTGAATTCGATGCTGGGAGCTTGCTCCATTCGCTTGCGTGAGATTGATTTCTCGCGCCGATGCTGCATTGTGCACTCGTGTGACAATCACGTGTGCATGAATTGCGCAAGGGAATGCGCGGTCTACCCATATTGCGGGTGGACGATCGATACAGTTTTTACCTCTTTTGTGGACTTTTTTTGTCCCAAATTTTCAAAAAAATGTCCACAAAAGAGCGTTTAAATTTTTTTCTTCGAAAAATGGCAAATTTCCGACCTCCTGAGGTAGCTTTTGGTGAAAAAGCATGTGAGCGTCGAAAATGCGAAAAGTCGTGTATCCTAGCAGATGAACCAGGAAGCGTCGACAAGCGATGGTTCGATGGTCACGGGTATTGCGGTTTCTATCATCATGAATGCGGTTTACAGCAGATTGATACTCGCAGTAGAGGGTATAGACGTTGACGTGGTTGTACCCAGGGAAAACAGGAAAATTTCGGCTCGCTGATCTTCTGGATGACCGTCACGGTCAAAGGTCACGCGGATCGGAATTTTCCCGGCTAGAATGTATGCAGGTGTCACGTTTGCACCAAGAACGTCGGAAAGAACCTTTAGAGAAATGATACACAAGGTAGAATTAGCCACATTGTCGTCCCGGTCAGCTCGGCGAGTCCCACGCTGGGGATTCACGCTGCAGGCATCGAACTCGTACTTGTAAAGAATGTCATCAGCAATGGGCGTTCGAGATATAGTTCACGGCGTGAACTTCACGCCGCCGGGCGAGGTTGTTGAAAAAATGGCAAAACGTTTGAAATTTCTTTCAGATAACTCCGCGGAAGTCAAGGAGGAAAACGAGGAGATTTAATTCGAGCTGGTAGGCCAAAGGCATTCATTGTACTATCTAAACACTTGTGGTTAGTTCTTTTGAAATGATTTAGGAGAAGAGATAAAATTCTAATAGATTTAGACTTATGCCTCGAAGAAAATCGACGCCAATGAAAATGGTAACGTCTACGCCGTCGTTTCGTGACCTCGACGACGGATATAAGCCGCCAGAAACCACGAGCATTTTCAATACGGACGATTAGCGCCGAATGACGTCCGGTAAATTGGATCTGACACGAGACGCCAAGCTCTCAGAAGAGTCTGCACGTGCAAAACACGAGCTAAAAATGGGAGTTCCCCTTGGCCAATTCGTTAACACGTTCAGCAAGATCGAGGATGTTAAGCCCAACGAGAGCGACACGAAAATCAAAACGCTCATCGGGGCGCTTCGAATCCTGTGCGAAAGAATCGCGAGAGCAGGAAATATGATCTTTACTGTTGACGAGCAGGTAAGAGTGGGACTCGGCTTGGGCAAGACTAGGCAAGACTCTGGGCCAGACTCCTCAAGACTGATCTCTCCCTATCCTGAGGCCTGAGGTAGCGGGGCATGCTCGGCAGCGCCGGGGGTCTACCCGACCGCCTTGCACACTCCTCCACACTCACCCCCAGATAGTTGAGATTGTGTTTATTTTGAAAATTTGACAGAATAATAAATAAAGAACAGTAATTTTTGTGAAAGATAAATTTAACATGACCTATCAATAATTGTTTGGAGTAGTGATCGCGCGTCCCGAAATTCTCAGGAGTGGTCGCGAGACGCTGAGAACGAAATTATCGGAAAATGTCTCTAGAACCCCTGAGCATCCCGCGTCGCGCGATCAGAACTCAAAAACACTCCATTCGGATTTTTATCCTGCTCGCGCGAGGACCGATTTTCGAAAACACGCCAGCTCCCGCCCGATTGGTGCGTTCGCACGCACAATCTTGAGCGGTGAGCGGCACTCATCGGTTCCTCAGCGCTAGAGCGGATATTTTTCCTGCACTCTTTGTCTCTGTCAGGATGTTGCGGAAAATTTTCACCTATTATATTTAGACTGCATGCGATAATCGCGGATGAGAGAATTAAATCCAGCGGAAGCCGATGCCTGTAGCTGGCTGCGCCAGAACTCGAAGTTCTGGGGATCGTTATGCATTAACCAGTGGCAAATCAACCCGAACACCCAGTTTTACGTCGTCGACCTGTTCTCGCGAACTAGCGGCGACGGCCCGGCGTTTGATCCCACCCAACGTGATCACGCGGGCGCAGCTCGGCTATATGCCCGTAAGAACTGGTTCCCTCTAAAACTGGAAGTCTCAGAAGACGAAATCGCAATCTGCCTGGTCTCAATCGAAATCAGGTAACATTACACACCTTCTTCCTACAGTTTAAGACCCGTTTGAGGCTTCGGATTAGCCTCGAGGGCGTTTTGGAACGTTGTTTTGATTATAAGCCTCCTCAGGTTCTAGAAAAGGTGGAAACCAGGGTTAGCTCGCAAGCCGAGCTAATCAACGGACCGACTCAGGACACCCAAACTTTCCAAAACAAAGCGAGTTCTAGAACCTCCCGCGCTAACCTCTCGACTCTAGCCTGCGAAAATCCGTTGCGTACTAAAACCAATAACGAGTTATAATGGCCGAATTACACGTTTATTGTCACGGGAATTTAACACTTGTTGACAAAGCCACCTGACCTCGCGGTCAGGCGGCAGTAAGAGGCAGAATTATCTTTAGATGATATAGCACTAATGGGCATAAGAACTCAGGTCAGTTACGCGCGAATAGAAAAGGGGAGATCTTGCGCAATGCATCGCTCCACCTCAAGGTGCAGATTCAGGACAGCTTGTCGGATGGCTCCGAAAGGAGTTCGTCGAGGCTGGGTTCGCCACCATTCATCGGAGAGTCGATTGGCGATTCGGCGGCCCTCGCGTCGTAGCTAAAGTAGCGTTTAAATAACCTTTTATAATAAAAGAAACAAATATATAGTTTGTAGAAATTATTTTGATCATTTCGGGAAACTTACGTAAACAGCAGTGGCGCCGAACGATCGGAAATCGTCGGGAGAAGGGGAATCCTCGAGAATCTCTCGGATGTCACTGACGAATTGTTCTGCATCTCGGCAGTAGTCGCGGATGTCTCTCAACTCTCCGAAGGAGGCGATCTCGCCGCTCGCGACGAGCTCGTTGATCTTGTCTGCAATTCCACTCATGGAAAATTAAAAAAGTGTCTTTGCGATTCTTTGGGCTCCGAGGAGTGAGGCCGGCGACGGCCCACCCTCGGTTTTATACCAAATTTGTGAATCATAAGCAAAATTTCGAACCTCGCCCGCCCTGGGAGTCGGCGTTAACCTTTCATGAGCTTATCACCGATACAGCGCCTTGAACGGGTCACTGGCGGCCCTAAAGAATTCCGATCGACGGAAACGCATGATTCAGCACAAAAAGCTAACGTTTCTTTTAGTACGATGGAACTGGCGACACACATAAGGAGTTGGATTACCTATGTTAGCCCGGCGAAGGCTTTGAATAAAGATATCCTTTGGTCCCTCCCTTCAAACAATGATGGAAAAGTTTTCACGACGGAAGAGCTTAGTGGTCAAGCAGAACTTGCGAAAGTTCTGTTTGACACTCAAACGGATTCAAGCCCAAAAATTTGGAATCTGAAGGTCGAGCAATTCATCGCGCATCAAAATGACGAATCCGACTCAGTTAGATCCCTAATTGCCAATTCGATCAGCCCGCTTTTTACTATTAAAAGAAGCGGCACAAGAATCGTCGCACCGCAAATAGCTTCCGAATTTCTTTCAAAAGATCAGGCCGAAGAAGTTCTTGAAGAGTGGCTTTCGTTCCAAGAGTCAGACCAGCCGGCAGGAAAAGTGAACATGAACATTCTGAGCCTCGTGAGCTCGCGAGAGCTCAACGAGGTGGCTCAGCTCATCAAAGAAAAATACGTCAACGCTAAAACGCCGGCTGCGATCTACAGGGAGCTTGCGGCTTTGCTATGGAGAAAGCTTGGCGTAGGCTTCGCTGACTTCGAAGACATCAACGGGTTCGCGGCGGCTCTCGCGAGCCGTACCACGGACCCAATTGATCACCACAAAGGAGCAGAAAAGATCAAAGTGGAACTTAGCCTCTTCGTGGAAGAATTCAAGCTGAAAGAAGGCTTCGAATCCTTCTGGGTTCAACTTATTCACGTCGTCCGCATCGGTACGGAATGGGCACATCAATGGGCTTCGACGTTCAACCAAGGATCCACCCCACCAGGCATCTTCGCATGCCTCAACCTTCTCGACTGGTTTAACCCTCCCTACAGCCCTTCGGACAACTATTCAAGGGTCCCAGCTCACGCCCAACAAATGCTCAAAGACGTCGGTGACTTTGCCTTTTGGGTAATATACGGCAACGAGCCGATCAAGTTTCTCATCCTGCCGGAAAAGATCATGAACCCGAATCAGGTTAAATACTTGATGAGAATTGGTCGCCTAATCGCAAGAGCCATTTTTGATGCAGAAGAACTGACCTCAGCAGTCGCGAACCTCGAGGAAACGATCAGGGCGAATAGCAGGGAAAACCTGGCCCCAGTTGTCAAAAGCTGGGACAAGTTCGTCAAGGAATTGAAGAAACAAGCTCGGGAAATTGAATCGACAGAAAAAACGGCTTTGAGCGTCCACATCCTTCCCCAGGCCTTCAAAACTCAAAGAAAAAAGATCATCGGCTGGAATCTATACAAATTCATCGTCAGATCCTCGCGGGTCTCAACGATGGAGATGTTAGACAGATACTTTACCTGGTTCGATTCCGAAGTCGTTGCCCCAGAAGACCCGAACTGCGAAAAATACAAGTGGTTTCTCGAAATTGCGCCGAGGAGACGACTCGAAAAGAATGAACAGCTCTCAGGACCCCTTTTCGACAGAGAAAAAGCCTACAGCGACAACGATAACTGTGCCTTCGTCGGATGCGTAGCAGCCTCGGTCGGTTTTTCACTGCCAGACGGGGAAACAGCAGTTCCCGCCTGTGATTTTCACATCCTCATCACCTCTGAAGTCGCCTTCAGAGAGAGGAATCGGCTGCTGACAACGATAGTCCCGACAATAGACGGTCTCAAGGTGGAAATAGCCGGTAAAAGACTGGAGAAAGTGGTCCCTTGGGGCACTGCGAGCCCTGAAATGAGAACAAGGATGATGTTCGAAGTCGTCAACTCGTTCATCAACAGAGCGGGCCCCGGAGTCATGCCGATATACTTCGCGAGGCTGATTTCGCTGAGGATTTCTACTGGCGCAAAGTTACCATGGGACACTCGAGGAAGTGAAAAAGGGTGGTGAGTGGAGAACCGCGAGGTCCTCCACCAAGTCCACCCCGTGCCTCTTCTTCATCTTTCACAAAACAAGAGGACTTTCGAGAGTTTGGGAAGAAGACCCAGTGCTCGTTGTCAACATTGGGGACCGCTGCCACAAAATGACAACGACGGACAAGCCGACAAGAGAATACCTCGAGTCAATTGGCCTTCCTCACTACTTCAACTTGGGCGAAATCAAGACACGATTGAACCTCAAGATGCACAATATGGCAAGAAATGGAAATTACCCAGAGTTTCCGCTGCTCCACTCCATCGAACATGACTACCCCACACTGAAGATAGTCATCCTTGTCCCCCATCGTACTTGCTGATGATTAAGAAACATCTCAAGTTAGCCCAAGAACCCAGCCTTCCCGAGTCCAAAATCATCATCATCACAAACAAAGTCAAAGACAACGTGCTTCACTACTACGAGAAGCACGTGGCCGGCAAGACAACCGCTTTCCTCCACCCGCAGCTTGCTCAAGACAGCTGTTTTCCAAGCTTTCCCCAAGATGGCAGCCTGGCATGGCCTTCCATTTTCTACACGGCAATCTCGGATGATAAGAGCTCGGGTTTAAACCCGGAAAACCTTTTCGGACAAGCTCTTTGAAACCCTTCAGCACGCGGCAGGGGCTCCGAACTTGACAAAGACGAGCGAGCGGCAGACTTCGCTTCCTTTTTAATCGAGTGGAAGGCCCGCGAGGGCCTCCACTTGGTCGAATTGGACAATGGAGACTTAAGTTATGCAGCCGCGCCAAAATTCGAATGGGCGCCTACGAAGGAAGAATTCTTCGTTTTAACAACGTTGACGACGTCGCCGGAAAAACGCCTGGCTCAATACGCCATGAGAATCCGTTCTCGAGAAAGAGATTTTATTTGGTTTATTGATGCCGAATCTTCGATCTCTCGAAACCTTCGAAGAGACCCACGTCTCACCGCCGAGTTGGCGACAACATGGTTTGAGAAGTGGATTCGCGAGTTCCCTTCTCGAACCACGAACCCAAGATTTAGAGTCGATCTCGAATACTGGCTCGAGATCTTCTGTAACAGAAGTTACGCGAGCGACCCTGACAACCGCCACCAACTCCAACAAACCAGATCAGACCATCCAAATCCTCCTGCTCTCAACCCTTACTTTCAAGTCAGAGGGGAATCCTTGCTTCACGGCAGAGAGAGAATCGCGGAATACGACTTACTCCCAGTGCCGACTCCAACCCCGTCGATAGCCTCGTCAGAAACATCGGACGCATCGAAGGTATCAGCCGCGTCGTCAACGACTTCTTCTCCACCGAGAACCCCGGGGACAGTCGTCACGCGAGTAACGACTCCCGCCCCACCAACGTGGTTCTTGGAAGCGGAACAGACTCTCGATAACAACGAGGACAGAATCGACCTTGAGAGAGAAATTCAAGATCGAAAGAAAAGAACGGACGAGCGTCGAAGGGTTAAAAAGCCCGAAAACGTCCCTGTTCCTGAGCCTCAAAAACGAGGAAACGATGAAGGCCAGGATTCCCCAGGCACAAAAGCGCACAAGGGCGAACCGAAAAAACCCGACTCATGGTGGAGAAGAGCGGATACGAAGTTTCCAACGACAAGATCGACCGATTCTGATTCGTCAGATGGAGGGAGACCACAGTTCCCGAAGACAATGCGAATTGTCTTCAACAGTGGGAACACCAACAATCCGCAAGAAGCTCCTCGGGGCATCGCTAATAGGCACTCACGCCGCTACGCCGAAATTCTGCGAAACCTGTCGCTCAGACAGTTGGACAAGGATCTTCTTAAAGTGGTGGATACTTATGCATCTCACGAAATCTGGGAAGAGCTTGAAAGCGTCAACCTCGGCAACCGTCCAGCTCTGGTTCTTAAGGACCAAAAAGGCCGACCATGGATGGCGAAAAGAATGACGACTCGAGAAGTATACTTCGATGAAGAAGCGGAGGAAGTTCTTGAGTTTGAAGCTCTTTCGAGCGAAGAGGAAACTGAAGGCCAAGATCGCCCCGCCAGGTCAGCCTTCGCAGGCGGCCTGCCGAGGGTTGAACGTCGCCAAGATGAGAAAATCAGAAAAGTCACGTCAAACACCAGAGCCCCTCAAAACAGGGATTTTAGACTCAACGAGAGGGGCCAGGGGCTGCCGATCGTAAGAAAACCAAAATCAAAGAAGCTGAGCAAGAAGAAAGGAAAGAGGGAAGCGCTAAAAAAGTTGAGAAAGAACATGGTGACGGAAAACGACCTAATTGACCGATCACAAATCAACACCCAGGCGCTTTCCGTTGCTCAGCGGGCAGCCATCAAGAAAGCAGCGTCGATCATCTCGGCAAAAACGTTCATGCCAAATAAAGCCGACGAACAAGGAGAAATTCTCTTTAAGATCCTCCTCGATATGCCAGCAGAAACTTCGCAGTTTCTAGCTGACATTGAACGGCAGTTTGGCGACATCAATGGCGCCGCCGTCAGGAACCAGATCTTCAAAGAATCACGAAGAAGAGAAGAACAGGGCTTGCCCATCATCCTTCACTGCTTCGCGAGAGACTTCTTCCCATCATTCGACTCAGATGAGGATGAGTAAAATTATTTATGCCATACACCCACAAATTTACTGCAACCAAGTTACCTCTCGCAAAATACGTTTTTAAGTTCAAATTCGGCCTGTCAATGTTACTGTAACATTCCTGTTTATTGCCAAAAGCCCGCGAGGGCTTTTGGATTACTTTCTTTATTACTCAAATTCTAAATTCCCTTCTTCCTGTACTCGACCCTCCTTGTGTCTAATCAATATGCTCGAGCGCCTCAACTCGTCGTTTCTCGACTGTCCAGTAAGTCCCAGAGATGGGCATGAACCTTCAGGAAACGACTAAGTTGTTCCGGAGCCAATAAGCTGTAAGCTCGACATAAAGTTTAGTCACAGGGAAGTGATAGTTACAAGTGTTAAAATTAAGAACGAATAAATCATTCATGTGAAAGGAAAATTAAAAAGCAAATGAATATTTCAAACTTAACTCGCGAAACATCATCTTAAGCTTTAGAATGCCACCCAAAAAGGCCGAGATCCCGTCTATCGACGACGTTCTCGCTCAATCGGCGTCGGCAACTAATTCCCCGCCGGCACCTGAACAAAAGCCAAAGGTGAACATCAAAACCAAGTCCACTAAGGCCAAGGAAATGGCAGCAGCTCTTCAAGACTCCACGACGGTCAAAAACATCTTAGACCGCTTGGACATCATCGAGAAAGAACAACTCGAAATCACGGCGGAGCTTGACCGCGAGGTCAAGCCACCCGCCGTCGATAATCAGACAGAAGATCGGCTACTCAAAATCGAGAAACAATTGCCAAGCTTGCACCGGAAGAGCAGGATCTCCTGCGTCATTGGTGAGCGCTTGTGCCCCGAGGAGTTCACGGTGGCACTACGAGACATCGAATCGGAAACAGAACGATTCCGCAAGGAAGCCAACATCACCTTCGCCCAGGCCATTAAGGTTCAGGCTCTTTTTGGCGAAAACCTAGCTTTGGCCATCAGTAAGGAAATGGCTACTCTTTACAGGATGACCAATGTCAACTTGAAATCCAAGAGGAACGTCTACAGCGATGCCGAACTCGCCGTGATGAAGATCAACGGCCAAGGGGATGATAAGATCCTCTTGGAAGAGTTCAAGTGGCTCTCGCAGATCCTGTTTGAAATCAAAGGGGAAAACCCAGTTACATCTCTAGTCGCGTTGTCGATCAAGGATGGCTTAGCTGCCTTGGCGCAATCGGCTTACGTGATGATCATGAAGGACCTCCGAGCCTGGCTGTTGGACCCGGAGTCTTTGTCCCCACAAAAGCTTACGAAGATCGCCACCAACCTCCGAAAGGACCTCGCGGTCCTTTTCGGAAAAAAATCACAAGGGGTCCTTCGCCTGGACGAGTTCCTCAAAGTGGCAACGAACAAGGCCCATGACATCAGCAAGCAACAGGCGATGGAGCTCATCCGACAGTTTTTTCCCATGATGGACGAAATGAGCCCTCGAACCTATGTTGCTCTGGGTTTTGAAACGATCGACAAGAACATCGAAGCGGGATTGCAGAACTGGGAAGCCGCGAAAAGGAAAGAACTAAAACTTCGGATTCACAGTTTAAACATGTAATTCAGCCCGGAAGGGCTAAACAGCAACCCAGTCCCTGCACCAAAACCTCAACCCTCCCAGCAACTTGAGGAAGACGAGTTTGCCGGCGGTTTCATGCAACGTGCCAAGAGACCCGGATTAATAAGTTCAATTCCAAACTCTTCTGGCGGAAGATACTTTTTCGATTTCGATTCCAAGTCGATGACGATATCCCCAGTCGTCTTCTTCTCATTTTGATCTTTCTTCTTTTCCAAAAGGTGCTGCTTTGCTTCCTCGAGCTCCTCCGCCGTCAGTTCGAGCTCCAACTCTTCCGAAAAGTCCGATTCTGTTTCGCTAATTTTTTTCACCAACATTTTCTGCTTGAAGTAAATGTCTGGAGGTCCCTAAAGTCGACAATAAGAGCTTCTGGCTGTAAGAAATCTAGCTGTACCTGATTCAAACGGATTCCAACAGCTTCTAATTCAAGCGTCAACTTTGGAATTTGAATTTCAGCTTTGTGCACTTCAACTTGTATCACAATGCAATCAGCTGTTCTAGCCACCGCGATAACTTGTTAACCACGACCTTAGATTTTATTGTGAGATCAGGAACATGATTGTTATTAGTACCTTTTCCTGGGGCAGCTCCTTCGGTGATACCGGGCAAATCGAGAAGTTGGATATTCGCGTCTTTGTATTCGATGCAAGTCAACGTTGTGAATTCATACGCTCCGGCTTCAGAGGTAGTCTTGATGATTCCCATTTTCAATTCTTGTGCTTTCTTCTATAAAGTTGGAGCTTGTTCTTGATTGCTTCCGAGCTCTTCTTCTTCATCTCGAGCTTGATCTTGTCTTTGTTGAGCCTAAAAATATCAATATCAATCCATAAAAGTTTACGATTACAATTCAAAAAGATCTGAAGCGGGCAATTCATCTATTACAAACAATGTGCTCGAAAATTTCAATTCTATCATGAAGCAAAATGGATTCGAAAGAAACCCGACCATTGAAGAATTCATGGTTGTTATGACAAATACTAAACGAAAAAATCTTTGCAATGAAAGAGCTATCGCTTCTGGAAAAGTGCCGGCTCCACATGAAGATAATTTTCAAACGCTTATGATGTTCATCCGTTCAAATGCATTGCGACAACTGACTAAACTCCAGAAAAAAAGATTGAGTGGATACGATGTTACATTCACAGATTTGGAAATCCAAAAAATGAAGGCGCAGATCTATGAGACAGCAAAATCAATCATGTACTCAAAAAGTAAAGCAAAAAAACTACTTGGAGATCAAGCTGAGTACAATACATATCTTGCTACTGTTACAGACGATCATTACAAGAGCGATCTTCTTAAAAAATTATCTATGAGGCCAGTTATTATGAAACAAACTGTCGATCTTGAGATCTTGGAGTCCGCTTCAGCGACAACTACTGGCGCAATCGTTGAAACAGATACTGTCACTGATAAAATTCAAGGTGAAAATGATTGCGACTTACCAGATTTTTTGCGTGAAGAAGATGAAATGGTGAATCTCACGCCCGCACCGCCGACCATCAAACATGATGAACAGATCGATGACTCGGAAATGAGACCGTTGCCGATTTCCAGACCATTGAAAAGAACAATTGATAAAATCCACGATGCTCCGGCTCCGGCAACTGGGCGAAAGAAGTCCTCTCAGCCGCGAAAAATGGTCGATCTTGAAGCTCCTGATGGTTCTAGCTCTCAGGCAGTTTCCTCCAGTAACGATTCGTCTATTTCCGATAATGGCTCCGTTGATCTTTTTGGAAACGCATTCGCCTCTCAATCTTCATGCATCTCATATACTGTCAATGAAGACGGTAGTCTCGTTACTCAATCTTGCAATCATTCATCCAGCTCAGGCGGAGTTGAACGGCTTAAAATAACTGATAAATCAATGAAAATGGTCAAAAAAAGGCTTGGCAGTACTCATGGGAATCGACGACTTGAAAAAATAGGGAAATTTTTCGCGGTCAAAAATCTATGGGAACTTAAAAGAAGAGAACAACTGTCTCTCACAACAATTCAATGCTTTATCGAAATTTTGAATGGTCAGCTTCTCAAGGCCAAGTCAAAAAATGTTTGTCTGGATGTCGGATTCTTTGAATCGCTCAAAAACTCACCTTTGCCAGAGGAATTCGATCCGAGAAGTTTTGACGAAATATTCATCCTGATTCCTCTCTCTGCGTTCTATCTTTATCACATGACTCTTCTTCGAATTTCGATCAAGAACCGAATCATTCAAATACTTGACAGTGACATCGACAAGCTAAATGAAGATGATTGTTACAGGAATCAGTCAGTAAACGTATAATTTAAGGGGGTAGAAAAAGCTTTTTTCCGAAAAAGACGATTTTTGAGCGGCGCTACTGAGAAGAGAATCTTATATTTTCAAATTTTCTCTTCAGGTTTAGATAGATACATCTTAGATCTAGGAGCATCTTTCTCGAAATTTGTTTAAGTCATCAAATTTTTGAATAATCGGGCTCAGAAGCAGCTCATCTTTTTACTGATTGCTTTCAAGAAATATTGCTAAAGTTGTTCAAGAAAAACTACTTGGAAAATTTATAACTGAAGAGTTCAAACTCGAAATCATTGCGACTCCAAAGCATCACGAAGAAGACGCCGAAGCGCATGTTTTGATGAGTCTCGCTTTTCTAGCGCTGGAGCCAGCATTTCCCTTGACAAAAGAACATTTTGAGCCGCGAGAAAATTTGAGATACAAAATAGCGGAATCTCTCTTGAATCAAAAAATCAAACTGTAATTTCTATTTTTATAATCACAAATTCTATTTTTATACTCACACATTCTATTCTTATATTTACAATAATATATGTCTCTCAAATAAAATAATCATCAATTGAAATTAACGCAGTTTTTTTTTTGCCTACTTGAATGTTGTTGGTATCAGTAGCGCAGGTTTTGTGGAAATAAATTACCTCGATAAACAGACTGCAAGACATTTCGGCGAAACTCAGGAGTGGCACCGCGCTGCTTTAGTTTTCGCTGCATCCAATCTTCGCGCGCGGGTTTCAGCCTACAGTAGCATTGCTCGCTTATCGCCTGCTGCACCCAGTTGCGCTCGTCTATTGACTCGGAGTAGCTCGGAGTAGATTGAGAATAGTGTAGTCTTGGTCACTGAGAATGATGTTTCCACGATCATAGAGCTCAAAGGGAGCTTTGTTCGAGGCAGGGTGTCCGTGCCGCAGTGCCGTGCCGTGCCGTGCCGTAGACCTTTCCCCACCCTGGTTCGAGGCAACTCCATTACCGTAGAAGTTTGTTTCCTTGGCACTCGATCGCGAGGCCGAAATCTGCGAGTTTGATTGCTGCGTTTGGCCGCTTTGAATCAAGAAGGAGGTTTTCAGGTTTCAAATCTATGCTTGTTTAAGATAAAACGTCTTTTATCAAAGAGTACCTATGTGAACAACATCATTTTTGTGGCAGAAAGAGACGGCTTCGAGAATCTGTTGAATACAACATTTCGCAGCTACGCGTTCGGAGTAGTACTCTCTCGTCACGATATCTTCAAACAACTCGCCACCGGTAATCAAATCAAAGAGCATGTAGTGACTTAAATAATCGTTAAAAACCAGCAATTTGATATGTTACTCACTATCCTCCTTGATCAAAGGTTTCATGGAGACGGACAATGTTCTTATGGCGTAATTTTTGGCAGACGCGCGCTCCTCTTTCGAGTTTTTCGAAGTCGCGTTTCGTCAGCTTGCTCGTTGTGATGATTTTGACGGCGAATGCTTGCTTCGTTTCCCGCGAAACGCATTTTTTCAAAAAAATTGCAATTTTCACGCTAAGTACAATTTATATGCAATTTTACGACTTTCGAGGGCCAGAATCCTGGGTAAAGATATTCGTAAAGGGGAAGTATGATACATCAAAATGATCCTCAGAACATGGGGAATCTAAATATGCAATAAAGAGACCCCTGATAAAGAGTTGAAAAAACAGGGGGGGATCCCTTAAGGGGCTAAACGGCCCTTCTCAGCCCCGTTCCATGATTTTTAAGTTTAAGGGGCTTGACAAAGGCTTTGAACTATGAGTTGATCAATCTCAGTTCTGTCCCCAACCCCACCCTCACCCATTATTTAAAATATTCAAATTTTTACTGTTTTTGGCCCAATTATGGTTTTGATCAAATTGGGTGAACGGCGACTTGGACAAACGGAGACCACTCATAGGCGCCCTTTTTTATTGACGGCAATTTTTGACGAAAATTTTGCGAAAACTGCGGACTGTGGTGCGATGTGCATACATGTGCTCTGACTGCGCTGCGAAGTGCGAAATTCCGCAGTTCGCAGGTCGCACTGCGAAGATTTCTGCGATTTCCCCACTGCGAATGTACATCCCTGTTCACGACTGAAAATGCGCCCTTCCCGACCTCCTCGCGAATCTCGTACAGATCTGTAAACATTTCGCATCTATGTCGTAGATATTCAGAACATAGTGATGCCATAAATTCGCCCGAACTGTTTGCGCCTGTAATAAAAGAATTTCATGAAAACCCTGTTTTGTCAATAAATAAAAGAACCTTACTGTGCAGCCGCATAGAGTACCGAAACATTCTTATCAGAACATTGGGTGTTGACTTTGGCACCACGAGCTAACAACCGTTTCACGATTTCCAACCAGTCGGATCGTTCTAAAGCTAATAATGGTGGCCATTATGGCCCCAAAACTGGGTTTGTAAAAATTCAAAAATAAGAGGAAACATCAAATGTCTAACAGAGAAAAAAGAAAAAGCAAAAAAGGGTTATTATGAAGGTAAATTGACAAGTTTATAAAAGAGAAAGAAAAAAAGTAGTAAAGATTAAACTCATAGATAAAAGCATTAAAACTAGCTTTTTCCTTTTTTGAAAATTTTCGTTCATTCTTTCTTCTTCTTTTTCACTTTTTCAATTCAACTCTTCTTTGAAAAAATCATGAAATGAGTTATCGTCGCTAAAGACGGCTGCGCCAATCAGGTGCAAGCGCAACATTTCAAAAAAAGCGAAGGAAAACTCAAGTTAAGTCAAGAAAAATCAAAAAAAGTTATTGTTCAAAATTATATGCTGAGTGGGGGTAGAGTAAGGCGTATTTTTGTCAAGACTCTCATTTCTTGTTTTTGAAAATATTTTTAAAAAATTTTCCTTACCTCGACCAAAATCCTTACCTCGACCAAATCCTTACCTCGACCATTTTCAGAATTTGGAACAATAATGCTTTTCAAGGTCTCATTCAGTGTTGGAAAAAACCCGCCCGCGAACCCCGCGGGGGCGGCGGGCGGGGGCTGCGGGCGCCCGCGCCCCCCGTACCCGCAAAAAATTTCGGATCTGGCCCCCGCGCCCGCCCGCGACCGCAAAAAATTTCTGATTTGGCCCCCGCGCCCGCCCGCGACCGCAAAAAATTTCTGATTTGGCCCCCGCGCCCGCCCGCGCCCGTACAAATTTTTTTCAGCCGCCCGGGGCCCCCTTCCCTCGCCTTGAATTTAAATTGAGCTTGACGGCCAAATGGCCGATTCCCCCTTTTCTCCCTCCTTGGTTTTGAATTCAAGGGATTCCCCTGTTTTTCAACTCTTTATCACAGGTCTCATGGCATGTTAACCTTACAACGACAAACCGGAATTTCACCCGCCGACGACAATTGTGGCATGTATGGCACATGGATTTTAATGCCATCGTTTGATCAATAGAATGCCCGAAACCAAAGCCTAACCCAAACCAAAACAGAGCCCGAAACCTAAACTCGAACATGAACCTAGTGTCCATCCCAGTCTAGTGACCAAAATGGAAGAAATGGAAGAAAAGAGAAAAATGGGCGTTAAAAGTTTTTGTGCCATATATTCCTAGCTGTCTGAGAATCATTTTGATGTATCACACTATCCCTTAACAAACATCTTAACCCGAAATTTTTGCCCACGTAAAAATGGGTATAAATAGTACTAAGCGTGAAAATGGCGATTTTTTCCGCCTTCGGGCCGTCTCAGCCCTGTTCCATGATTTTTGAATTTAAGGGGCTTGACGGCCCTTCGGGCCGTCTCAGCCCTGTTTCAAGATTTTGAATTTAAGGGGCTTGACAATGGCTGGGAACTCTAAGTTGATCAATCTCAGTTTTGTCCCCAACCCCACCCACACCCATCGTTTGAAAAATTCAAATTATCTTAGTTTATAACTCTATTATGGTTTTTATCAAAAATTATTTTTTATTTGCTGATTTCTGAACCCGCGGGGCTTGCGGACGCGAGGGTTACGGGCGCCCTCCACCCCCCGGGCGCCCGCGGGCGCGAAAATCTGCGGGGCCCCCGCCCGCGCCCGCCCGGACCCGCACGAAATTTTTGAGTTGGCCCCCGCGCCCGCCCGGACCCGCAGGAAATTTTGGAATTGGCAACCGCGCCCGCCCGCACCCGCGGAAAATTTTGAAATCGGCCCCCGCGCCCGCCCGCGCCCGCGGGAAATGTTGCGGGTTTTCCAACACTGGTCTCATTAATTTATTAAGAGCGGAGAACTACGACACAAATACGTGCAAAGATGAGAAAGCGATGAAAGAGATGTAGTGTCAGGATAAGATTGATGAGCACTAGATACAACACTACAACTTCAAATGGTAAGACCTTTTCCGATAGACAGTTGAGCAGTTTTTTCTGTGCCTTCGAATTTTCAATTTCAATTGCCGTGTCATCAATAACAATTGTTTTCGATTTCTGAAGCTCCGCTCGTAGCTGCTTTGAATTTGGTTTAATCGGTTGATGAAGCTTTTTCTGGCATTCGAATTTTTCCCAAGTTTGGCGCATTTCAGTAAAGTCAACTGTACAAGCTTTATCCAGAATAGGTTGTAATTCCTTCTCAATGCGAGCTTTTTCTTCTGCAGGCTTATTTCTATGGTCCCATGGAAGAGAGGGCTTTGCGAAATGGCAATCTTTCAATGTTTAAAAAAGAGTGATTTCTACTACTAACGACAGTATTTAGTATCCAGCGACAGAACTACAGGGAGCTTATCAAGTCAGCTTATGCGATCAAGAAGAAAGCCACGAATAAGGGGAAATAGAAAGGTAATTACCAGTTTATTATTTGATTTTTGATGCATTCTAAACATTCCCTGATACTTCCTTTACTTCAAAATTCTCAAGAGTCCAAAACAGAGGATTTTCAGGGTCAATTATCGCGAGGTAAAGCACCAGTTTTCTTTTACATGATCGTGATTTTTGCTTGCATACAAGTCGGATATAGTATTTCCCTGTTTTGCTTTGATTATTTTAAAAGGATATTGGCCTTTAGTCTTTACACCTATTTTTGCATGCTGTTGAATAAGTTTAAGCAATTCCTTGTTTGTCTTTCTTGATGTTCTCAACTATAGTCCCACATCTCAGATGATACTCATGCTTGTAGTCTCCTTCCAATGTAAATACCCTCAGTGCGCTTATATCACAGCAAATTCCAATTATTGCAGGATATGCTTTTAAACTATTCATGATTTGCTCGACGATGTGTTCTTCGAGCGGTGGTAGCGGCTTTTATTTCAATTCTTTCTCAGTCATTTTCTTACGTTCTTTTCTTTCTTTTTTTTCGTTTTTTCCATTTTTCTTTTCAGCTTTCTTGTCTTGGTTATTTTCAGGTTGATCAGACATATTTTAATCGAAAATCAACTAAAGAACTAATCATAACATTTCGATCTACCAGGGTTCGTTCTAGAAGCTCGAAATCACAGTCATCGTAATAACTTTATCAATCTGCATAAAGAAGACAAACATTGGTCTAACAAAGCTTTTTAGGCCAAAACCTCACAAACGAAACAAATCTTCAAAGTGCATCTTCCTCAAACCGGCAAAATATTCACCCCCGCGCCTTCGACTACTTTTCGCATGAAGCAATCCGTTCCGGCGTCAATAAAGTCCTCACTCTTTTCTCATCAAGAGAGCTTCTGTGCGCAGATTTGGTCGAAGCGATAAGAGAATACTCAAAGTAAATTTTACATGTTTTTTATTTACTCATGCGTCTTTTTAGATGTGAAGATGAGTTGAAATTGAAGAAAGAGCTGTTGGAATCGTCTGGAATTGAAGAAAGGGACCCGGATCATTTCCTAGAGAAGGTAAAAGAACGAGGACATGGGCACAGAGCTCGGCAAGAGTTAGAACAATGGAAACAGCTACTGCTTGAGTACGTCAGTTTGCTAAAAACAGCGATAGAGAGAAGAAGGACCTTGCTAACTGTGCTTGATCAGAGTTCTGGATTTTACGAGGTTTGGAGAAATGGATATATAGAGGGCCAAGTTTGATTTCAGACGCAATTTCGAGAAGTAACGACGGTGCTAAAGGCCTATCATGACTACCGAGATCGCATAATTGCTCAGAAACGACGCTGTCAAGATATGATGAATGCCAAGTTCCAAGAGAAAGCAGTTTCGTCTCAACACACCACCCAATGCTAAGTTCCACCTCACCTAACTCTTCTTTTGCTGTTGTTTATAATTTAAAATTTTCTTCTCATCTATTTTGAATAATGTTGAAATCAAGGACAATTTGAGATCATCATTGAAATGCAGTTTTTAATACAGTTAATTATGGAATTTTTGGACATTTTTTGCCGCACAATTTTCTCAAAAATGTCCAAAAATTTGATACACGCTCCCGAAAAAAATGTCCCATCCAAATCGCTTAAAAATTTTTTTTGATGAAAATCTCGGTCGTTTCCTTTCTTTTCCTCGTTCAAAAGACAAGAAGCAATTCTAGGGGCACTAGATAAACTTTCAATTTTAATTTTCTTTAAAAAAGTAAAATTTTTGATAAGAAAAACGTCATTATTGATAGAAAAACTGAAAATAAAAAATTTTGCCCCAGAAAATGTCCAAAAATTTGATACAAGAACTCTTAAAAATGTCGCAAGAAAACCCCTTAAAATCGCAAAAATGTCCAAAAATTTGATGTCCAAAAATTCCATAAAAACTGTATATTTATTCTTCATTTTTACAGTATTTTGGCAAATATCAAGCATTATTTATCAGCTGGTGACTTGCATCAACCTGAAAATATACAAAAATCATTTTTGAAAAAAGTTAATTTTTAAGTTTTTCGGCTGAGAGGGGGTAGAGTATGGTGTATTTTTGCGAGGACTCACATTTTTAGTTTTCGAAAATATTTTCCTTTCGGTTTCCTTACCTCGACCAAAATCCCTACCTCGAACATTTTCAGAATTTGGTCGAGGTAAGGATTTGGTCGAGGTAAGGATCTGGTCGAGGTAAGGATTTGGTCGAGGTAAGGAAACACCACTGCAGATAGTAATTCTCCAAAAATTATCTTGTTCTCCACGATCAAATTGAGAAGGCGTTATTAAGACGTAAAAAATTAAGGTTCTTCAGTTGGCGATTTTCCAAATTTATAAGAGTAAAACGTTATTTCTTCTAGTTTGTCTACGAGCAGTGTCCAGGTTTTTGTTTCCATAAGAAGTCGTAAAGCATTAATTTAATAAAGATCGAATGTAGTATCCAAAAATTTAAAATCCACAAATTTTTCTTCTCCAAAAAGCATCAAAAATTTTTCTTACTGTTGAAACAGCGGCGGCGGCAATAATTTTCAGAGGCAATATCAGCTTTCCAAAAGTTTATAGGCAGCGAGCGGAGCATATTCTCTTTTAGCGGCATCGGATAAAAGTTTTTTTCTTCCAATCCCCGGTGACATGAAGCTTCGATAACCGCTTCAGTCACCAGTAAGAGTGGGACTCGGCTTGGGCAAGACTAGGCAAGACTCTGGGCCAGACTCCTCAAGACTGATCTCTCCCCTATCCGGAGGCCTGAGGTAGCGGGGCATGCTCGGCAGCGCCGGGGGTCTACCCGACCGCCTTGCACACTCCTCCACACAGGTTTGATTGCATGAGTTTGAATTATACTTACCGGTAGAATTCAGAAGACCACACGAACGCAGACTCTTCCACTCGTGCTGCTGCAGCTGAAAACTTCGCAGGATATAGGCTCGTGGGGGGCTACTACTCTTACCTCGTGACAGTTAACGATGATCCAATATTGTGCGAAATAAGGCGAGAAAGCAAAACTTTGCCACGTGCTAGGAATGGACCATCTTCGCCCATGCCAACTCGTGACCGTGACTTTCAACAGGGCCTACGGTGCCTAGAAACGGCGTTTAATGTCGAAGAAGACGGTCATTTCCTCGAAAGAGTCTCTCTCCCGGATTTGGCCCAAAACTGGAAGGTTTACACGTGTGGACGCTCGTCGGGCTCAGAAGCTGTTGGTTTCAGTGGAGAAGAAGCTTACAAATGCCCTGCTACGTCACGTGGAAATTACCATGGGTTCGCGCCTAAGCGTGGATCATTCAACGGCCGTGGCGGAAGAAAGGGAATGTAACAAAGACACTTGATGTATGCACTAGAGTTCGAAAGTCCTGCTCTGTTTTTATCCTAGGGCCTCAGCGAAAATACACGGATGTACTCGCTTGACTACTAGCAGTTAATAAAGGTGAACAAGCCTTAGTACGAAAGAGTAGATTCGTAGGGCTTGGTGGAGGAGATTTCTAATAGGTATAGAGTTCTATCGTCTTGTTTGCTGTTGGTTGGTTTGCAAGTTGTTTTAGTTGCTGTTGTTTGTTGCGAAGTCAGTAAAAAGTCAAGTTATTTTGTTTTTTGGGTTTCAAGTTAATGAATTAATTTATTCCGAATTGTTACAGTTTTTATAGGAGAACAGTGAGGGCGCTAAAGTTTACAGAGGGCGTTAAAGAGTGACTCTCGTGCACCATCGTTTGGCGTTGTTGGAGAATCTGGCCGTTGGCGAGGGCGCTAGTGTGTGGGAACCGGGTTGGTTGATTGACGTCAATTCTCAGATGAGTAAGCCCTCTTATCAGTTGCATGTGCGTCATTGAGGCTTGGTTCTCAGGCGCCATCGTGAGTCAGAGCCAGGCGCGTGCCAGAGTTTTGGGGGGCGCTGTTGAGAGCCCGAAGCATGCGCTGGATGAGTTCGGATGGCGCTGTTGCGCTGAGACATGAGCTCACTCGGCTGAGTGGATGCTCTTGCTGATTCACTGTCCTCATGGTGGACCTATATGGGAATTTGCCTACATCATGGGGCCTAATGGGGAAATATGGGGAAAGCCAGGCTTACATCCCCTCCCCTCCAAGGAAAAATTGCTCCTCAAGGGGCATTTTATTGGATTCGTTCAACAAGTCTGGCTCCTTGGGCGAATGCGAGGCGGTAGTACTTGATAGAATCTCGCTGCCCAAGTCGTTTCCACAAGATTTCCGCATTGCTGATGCGATTGAGTTTGTAACCTGCAGATGGGAAGTTGAAGTATCTCAGCATCAAGCCTGGGTCACAGAGGTATGTGGCCGTTATACTCGCTCGGAAGAATCTTGGGAGGCACTTGAGTGGTAATGGGTCAGTTATTTTGAGAGGGATACCCCCTTGCCATATACCCTTTGTATATGGCAAGCTCAACTTGGCGGTTCAGTCGTTTGATCATGTAAGTGGATAGGCATTCTTGTTTGTTTGCGATGTCAGAGAGTGCCGATCTGATCTTTCGCCAGTCGTTTGCCTTAAGGGCTTTATCCAGGTCCCGTTTCGAAACTCCGCTCAATTTTTTCGGGTAGACCGTGATCTCTGTCGGGCTGTACTTGAAAGGCATTCGCTGATGCGGTTTGAGCTTTTCTTGTTTGAGCCATCGATTGCGGTCATTATTGAATTTCGAGCCAATCGCCGTTCTGTATGATGCTTGGCCGGTACCTGCATGAGGTCGACTGGCGGCGTAAGCCTGATTGACTCTGTTACCCTCGAAGTTTCGCTTTCTGTTTTTCTGGCAGTTCAGGTGCGCTACTGAGCCACATCGGACTGGACATTGTCGCTGTCCCCGCTCATTGTGAGTGTAGGTAACTTCAAGTTTACCGAGGTTTTCTCGCACCTGTCTGTCAAAATTTCGCAGGAGATCTGTTGGGTCAGATCCATTGGTTTTGAAGACGGTTTGGACCGGTGTGTTAGGTGGATTTGGCTGCTCGATGATTACTTCGCCGGGCGAACAATCATCTTGTCGAACAAATGGGTCTAACTCGTCTCGGCAAGGTGTGCCAGGCATTGTCTCTAAGGATGCTATGCTCATGGCGTCGCTTTCGGCAAGATTTTCGTCGGGCTCTTCATCGATGAGTAAATCTGTTTCCATGGATTCGTCGTCGGAACGGTTGTCTTGGTCCGTCAGGGAAACACTCATAAACTCATCGAGAGCCGCTTGATCTGTGTCAAAGACGTTGTCATCGCCGTTTTCATAGTCCTTGTTGGTATTGGACCTTTCGGTTTTCCAGGATCGGCTCGGTTGATCGTCCGAAGTTGATTTTTCCTCGAAAGGAAAGTTGTTGGTTGGTTGGTTGGTTTGGTGTGTGTTTTGGTTTTGGTTATCCATTTTTAGATGATGTATTCGATCTCTCGCTCGCTTATATACTCTAGTGCTCTTTGGCGCCGTAGTGGGCATGGTGCCCTTGAGCGTATTGGGGCGCACGTGAGTAACTCATTGTGCCCTCTAAGGTGGCGCAGCGGAGAAATTTGTTTAAGTCTAGATTCTCGTGGTGAGGCACGGTGGCGCCCTAGCATGATTCATCGCAGTGCCTGGGATGGGCAAATGATGGCGGTGTGCGTCATTTGTGATACCGCTGGTTCCCATGACGCATGGAGAATCTAGCGCTTTGAAATACGGGATCTGCACAATGGACAAGTATTGTGATTGGACGCCCATTGTTCTATACAAGCAGAATGGAAGAAATGGCCACAAGAGTCGATAAATGAGGCAGTTTCCTGCATTTCGAATTTACAAATAGCGCACTCTGAATTTTTATTCGCTTCTTTTAGCTCTTTTTTGATCAGGTCATTGATTCGAGAGTGGGCTGACATTCTTGTGCGTGGATAGGGTCTATGTCTTCTGATCCAAGACGCAGGCGGTCTACGGGTTCTGACCTGCCTTATATTTCATCGATGACCACAAATGATTTTTCCGTCAGGAGTAAGGGCCTCTGGCAGAAGTCTGCCCTCGGTATCCCTTGGCGGGAGGTATGACCAACCGTTTGCCTGACCAACTGGAGGTCTGAACATAGATCTCCATGAATTTAGATCTGGTGGATTCAATGTTTCATCATTTTCTAGTAAGTAGTCGGGTAGAACAATATCTTGTTCCATGAAGCTGGACCGACCATTATCTGCATGATTTAGTTGTGATATATGGTTTGGGGAGATGATATCCCCTTCTGAATTGACATAGAGCGGGCGATGGGCAGCCGGAAGTCCCCTTCGAGGTTGGACGCCAACCCATCCGTTAGTAGATCTTGTTCGGATTAAGTTAACAAAATTGTTTGACTGGGGTGAAGGCTCATTGTTTTCAGAATCATTGGTTTCTAATGGTGGGCCTTCCACAAAAGGAGAATTGCATAAATTGCAGTTGTGTGGATAGATGATGGGCCGAAAGGCATTGCACATTATGCAGAAATGCATATTTCGCCTAAAATAAAATAAATATTCTGTTTAAGGTAGCCCCAGTGTGTCAGAGATAAATATTTTCAGGGTTTGCGGTTTTCGAAAAATTTGAAAAGAATGATGAAATTTTGTTTAAAAATTTTTCTAGCAGAGACTTGCTTTTAGAATTGTTAAAGATATAAAATCAATTGGTTTTAAACTAATTTACACCAAAATTTTGGTTAAAAATGCCTTGAGTGGTTAATCCTGTGTTTTTCGGAAAACTCCACTTTGAGTGATCAGTGGACAATTATTTTCATGGAAATAACGTAAAAGGCTGTGACAAAAGTAAGATCTAGTTTAAATCTTCTATATAAGTTTGTTTTGGAATGCTCAATTATTCTCAGGTACGTTTTATAAGCCTCAAAATTTTGATAATTTTGGCCTCTATACCCTTAAAGTAGACAATTTTTTAGGGATTTTTAGTGCTATATCAAGAATATTTAACCGCTGAAGAGATTTTTGCTGGATTTTTTGCGCTAGAGAATTATCGCGGCACGATTTATAAAAAAAAAACGGAAAATTTCAGAAACGAGTCTTGCACCAGAAGCGAGACTATGGAAGTTGAAGGAATTGTTGGCGCTCTGACTGTTACACTCGCGTATGAAGAAAAATTGAATACGAACAAACTCGTCAGACATCGGGAAATGTTTTACCGTTTTCGATTTGGCTCGCACACGCCGGCAGAAAATGCTGATCCATATAGACTAGGATCATTATCATGTTTGGATGCGGACACAAACAAGGCTTATTCCGTTCGTAAGTTTCGACTAGAAAAGACAACTTCAAAGAAAATGAGTTACTCTCTTTGATGTGCCTTTACTGTATTGAGAATACAATCATGTTGAAAGAACAGTTCAGCGAACCCTTGCAACAATTTCAAACAATTATTGAATCTTTCCGAAAAATTGTAAATTCAAAAGAGTCGATTCAATATTTTGGAATCAACCTTATTTCGAAAAATATTCTTTCAAAATCATCTTGTAGCGAGGCTTAGATTCTCAATTTGTTATTTGTGTTGAGCAGGAATTTTACGGTTTCTAGAAGCAAAAGATCAACGGTTGGAATTCATCAGCGCGATCGAAAATAATGGGGATCAAAAATGAGAATTTTCAAAAATAATTTTTTTTTTCAATTTTCAAAGTTTTATTGATTTTCGCTGATTCTTGAGCTCAAAGCGACCTTTTCTAACCAGCTCGATTTCTACCTGAGCTACTAGAAAATTAAAAAATTTAGTTCAAAAATTGAATTTGGCAAAATTTGTCAAGGCCCTCACGTCTACATAGGACGTCATGTGACTATGACAATAGGATATTCTGATAGAACAGGTCCGAAACCTTGGAGAATGATTAAAATATCATCAAAAAATATAAACCTACGCGTTCTATAAGCGTAATATTCTAAAATGAAGCGGAGGACCTTTGCTCAGGTCTTCCACCAGAAGAGGACCCTCTTCTTGGAAAAAAGAGTTTATCCCTTCTCTAGAAGCGTAGGTTAATATTTTTGATGATTTTTTCTTCAATCCCCAGAGAATCGATGTCACTCTTTCAGAAACTGGTGACCTTACATCACTGTAACCTTACTGTAAGGTGTGAGAGGCTTGACAAAATTTAATGCATTTTTCAAATCTTCATTTTCCACACCCAATTCTTAGGCCGCACGTGCGCTTGTAATTTTTTGGACTGAAGATTTCTTCGGCTTCAGTTTATTACAATCGTGAAAAATACGATTTTAGAAAAATGTTGACTGAGAAACGTGACGAGTGATTTGTTTGATCGGAAATGAGATTTGATAAGTTTGAGAATCGGAAACAGAATCAAAATTGAAAATCGAGATTTCAGTCAATAAAAATGGAAATTCACTTCGCTATTTTCGCATTGTTGAAAAATCAGACGCTAGAAGAGTGTTCTTAAAACTAAAAATCTCTCATAAAAGGATATGCAGGGACAATTCAAAAGCTCTTCCCCACATTTGAATTGCTCGTTCAAAAAGTAACGAGTCGAGGACGAAGAGAATTGAGCGTCGAATTGACTCCCGAATCACTCAGAGGCGAGTATGACTACGAGACGTTTACGGAGATGCTAAAATTCGTTTTTCGAAATAAACTTTTGATCTCGCATGTTGGCCTTCTGTTGCTTGTTGACCTTGTTGATTTCAGTTGTGGCGTAAGAAGAGAAAGCGTTGAAATTAAAATTATTTTGGCTTCCGAATTCAAATACGATTCATTTTAGATCATTTATCTTTCGAGGAAAGGTACTTTTTTCTTTCAATAAAAATCTTAACTTCTCAAATCAGAGTTTCATTGAATGAGGGCCAGCTAGGTTTAACTTATGTAACAGGCATGAAAGAAAGGTTTAGCGGCCCGGTGGCGCGCGGGGTGGCGGGCGGCCCCGTTCGAAATCGGTTTTTGGGCCCATTTTTCAAACGGCGTTCGAAATTTCCGAAAAATCTTGACCTTAGAATGAGCTTAAATCAATGTCATCGTGTAAGCAGATGAAGTTGGCATCATTATGAGGGAGTTTTCTTACAAATCAGGCGCGGAGCGCATATAAGCTCATTTTTAAAAGCAATTTCAGAAATTTTTCGAACGGCGTTCGAAAAATCTCGAACGGCGTTCGAAATTTCGAACGTAGCAGCCCTACACCCGGCGCGCGAGTATGTTCGGGTTTTACGGTCGGTTTGAAAGTGTTTTTCAGAAAAGTTTTCACTTTACTGTCAGATAGTTCCAGTATGAATGTTTTGAGTCTCCCCTTGGTAATCCCAAATTGCTCATGGTGTTACTGGCCCCTTGCGCCTGAGCCAGCCTTTCAGTATTATTTCAAGTGCACAAATGGTGCATGTCTACAACCCAATTATGTAAGTTTGAAATCAATGATTTTTGAGACTCAAAACGCTCTTAAAATTACGAATGTCATTTTGCAAGAATTAGACTAGCATATTCTTGATCAGCTTTTCATTCTCTTCCGATAGACTCATAAATCGGCCATATCTCGACGGTGGTTTTTTAAAAAATGGAGCGAGGGGACTCTCTTTTAATTGTTAGAAAGTTATTCTTGAATTAAGGTTATGCATCAAAATCACCTTTTCGAACTCGCGAATGGATTATGGTCGAATCCCCGAGAACTATTTTACAATAGTTCTGAAATCAACTGGCAGGGATTTCTCGCCCATTTTGCGGGTACTGCCACTATTTATCAGATGTGTACCGTAACTCCACTTAACTTGCCGCTTGTGCCCAATGGTAATGATAAATAGATTTTTATTTTTATTTGATCAAAAAGGGCCCGTGGCTGAGCCCGTTGTTCCGGAGCCCTACGCATTACCTCAACTCGGAGACCAGGATATGGTTGAACTTGTTCCTGTCAACGAGGAGCATGAAAATGAGTCTGTCATCGATTTCGAAATGCAGAGCATGAACGGAGAACAAAACATGGGGATTGATGGTTCATCCGGTTATGCCGGTGATGATGATCGATCAATGACCTCCATAGAATCCGACCGGTAAATTAATGTGTATGATTAGGGATTTTCACGGAAAAATGCGCGTGGCGCGGTCTTACGCAATCCAAATGAATGATTTTTAAAATTTAGTATTCCAATGTTTGACGGTGAAGATGACGGGTCCGAAATATCGGAAGAAGGGCTTTCTGACGATGACGTCAACCTAGATGATCTTGTTAATCGCGACAATAACGTCGCGTTCGAAGCTCCGCCTAGGGGCTTACAGGAGCTTTGGGAAGAGGATGCCGATTTTTACAGAGGGGAATCGAGTTTGGCGACTATGGATTCCGACCCTGATCAACAGCGTCTCCAGCAAATCCGGGACCGCAGCGTTTCCGAAAATCTGAAACATGGGATCAATGTGTTCGGCACCAAACAAGTGTTCGAAGTGTATATTAACCGCTTCACAAGTCCGGTAGTTATTTGAAACAAAATGATTGTCGCTTACTAACAATATTTGCTTTAGCTTTTTGATCGCGGGCCCTGTTGAAAGAGCCGAATTTGATAACTAGAAATACGCTTCCATACTAATGCTCAAAGTTTGCTCTTTTTGGGGCTCTTGTCTGACCAATTTGACCATTTCATAATTTTCAATTGATTCGACATCATTTCACGCTAACCATCATCTATTGATTCTACTTATAATTTTGTTCATAAAAACTTAAAAATTGTAGCGAGTATGTCTTCTTTGCGATGAGAACTTTTATGTGGGTGCGCCTGGGCGATGCCATGAGACTCATGATTTATGTCTGAGCTGTGTAAGTGGATTGACGAGAAGCGATTGGTGTCGTTGCCCGTTTGACAATCAGTACTTGTTCTTCAAAAACAAATACGAAAGCAACTGCTTGTCGTAAATTTTAGTTCTTTCCTTCTCCTTTATGAAAAATAAAATTTGAACAAAAACTTCGAAAATCGAGTGACTCAAAAATCTGCAGTGTCGTAGAAATGAATTAAGCGTATTGCATTCATTTGGTTAGTCAGTCAAGTTCACGGTCTATTGTTATCAATGATACGGCGTCACACAAGTGTCGCTCATTTGAGCGGCATTGAAAAGGAGAAAAAGGAGAGGCTGAAAAATGCTCGAAAATATTTCTTCCCTAGAGATTTTTCTGAAAAATTAAGAAAAATTTAAGGTAAATTCGATCGTAAAAACGTTGGCTAAAAATTTCTTGCTTCGATTTTCTGGCGTTTTAAGTTTGTTCCGAGCATCGTTATTTTGGAACTGTGCGTAATCTTCTCCAAATTTTCGATTTTACTACACTTGCTCTACTTTATTTTCGATTGATTTGACGATAAATGTTATGGAGCCGTTTTATAGATCCAAATACTATTAAAGAGTTGTCGCGCGTTATTGGAAACAAAGATAAGCCGGTTGATGATTTTGATTCTCGTGCCCGACGCTTCTGTAGTAAAAAATCCTGGACAGAAAATGAGCTGGGACCAATTTTTATCTGAGCGTATTCGCGAGTTGGCAAAATAGTAAACGTGACAAGTTGAAAGATGACGTTTGCGGAGACAACAAACGGTCAGAGGTGTTTGACATTAAAAATATTCTAGAGCAAAGAGACAAAGACGCGTGAGATCAATTCCATTAGAAGTTGGGTGCAATTTGATTTCGAAAAAGAAACATCGTCAAACTTGTTTTTCAAGCTGACTTCTGAATTTAAGGAGCAAAAATGATTTCTTGTGTATTCAGGAAAAATATACTCTTAATGAGCTCTACTTTTAAAAGTTTAAAATCAATATTTTTATTGAGGTAATCCTGTATTTTTTTCTACACAAAGGCTCAAAGATTTTAAAGAAAACTAAGCTTGTAACTTTTGTAGGTTTCTTGAAGCGCTTGAGAATTAATGGATAATCGTAACGTTAATCTCGATGATTTTTGAGAGAAGAACTTTTTCTAGTGTTTCTAGCTAGTCAAGTACGAAGTTGAAAAGAGTTCGGATTTGGTGAGAAAGAGGGGTTGAGAGCTTGTCTGTGGGAGCTGAATTTGAGTCACGTATTGTTCTATTACTATGGGAGCGCTAGCGCATACTCTCTAAGATTCTCCCGCGGCGGCTGTTCTCACGCCCGCCAGGCCTACGTGTCCGAGTTCATAGCCGTTCAAGGCTTCTGCAAGTTACGCAAAAGGATTGAAATTGATGATTTTTCAATAAAAATTTGAAAAAGAAAATGGTTTTTTGGACGCTGCGGTGGTCTCAAAACTTCTGAATTTCGCCTTGCTTCTTTGAGTTCTTTCTGCTTCTCGACTTTTTCCTTCAAAAGCGCAAGTGAAGTGTCGTTTGAAACTTTATTGAGAAAATGTTACGTGTCCTCAAAATGTCGGCTTAACAATAAATCGAAGTCGTTTTTATTCGACAGATAAGGGTGTCTCTACGCTAATTGAGCATATAAGAAAAAGAGCAAAAATTTCTATTAATTCAAAATAATAAAGGGACTAAATGCCATTAATAAACACTCTGAAAATAAAACTTGAATAATCTCGGACGCTATTCGTCATGCGATGAGACAGTAGTCTTTTTTCAAAGTCAATAAAATTGGACACTGGACGATAGACAGTAAAATAACTAATTGCTTATCAACTCATGGCCAAAAGTCAATTGTAGATTCAATTGTCTTGTCTGATTTTTGAATTGTGAAAGAAATTGACTCTTTAGAGAGAAAACACGTGTTGAGTACAAAGCGAGTTTTATATATACGACGGAAGTCGCCGAGTTCGAGCAAAACTTGCTATTACGCCAGATGGGCATGCAGCGAGTTTTGTATTTTGTTTCGCGGTCCCATGATGATTTTTTCAATGGAAATTACTAACAAGTTAAATGGAGCTGTATATTTGCACTCTCACGGGAATCTAGCGCGCGTACTGACAGAGTAAGCTCGTGAGTTGTGGTGCGGCTCCTCAAGCTGCTCAATCATACTTTTTGACGAGAAGCATCACTCTTTTCCTAAAGGAGATTTTGCGAGTCGGAATGCATCAATAAATAAGCCCATTCCCTATCACGAGATTTTTCTTACTTCCGCGCTGATTGAAAGGAAGAGTCGTCCGAGTCCGACTAAAAATCGATTCTGCTGTTGATTAACTGCGATTTTCAAGAGAATTGAATAATTTCTGGGCATTAAAATTCAATAATTTGATTAATAGAATGCAAATCTAACTAGGGTTTACTTGTTCGACGATGTTGGCACCCTTAAAATGAATGATTTCAAATAAAGCATGGCGTTTAAACTTCTTCAATTTTCTGTTCGATTGGTTCAATTTTCTGGCTCTTTCTGCACAATTTTGTACAGTTAGATGTACAGTAATTCTCTTTTTAATAATTTATCAAATGCGCATGTTGTTTTCGCCTTTGTTGTTTTTCCAAATCACGAATGGTGACCATTTTATGTTTTTGTTTTTGAATGAAATAAAAATAAAGCGCTAGAAATAAAAAGGCAAAAAGAGATATGGTAATAATATTATTAAGCTCGTTTTTATATCTAAAATAAAAAGTCTTATTTTTATCAATATGAGAAGTCGTATAAGTGAGATTATGGTGCATCAAAATAGTACTATTTTCTAAATCATTTTCAAAGTTAACGACGATGTCATCGTAATTTTTCTGGATCTCTAGAAAACTCATTATTTGGGTTCCACACTGAAGGTTCAATTTGTGATTCCACCTTCTTAATTTTGTTATCCCAACTGGGCTTAACGTTGCTTTCTCGAGTTTTTCTTTGGGAAAATGGCTTGGCTCTAATGGTGAGATCTTTGGGACTGTAAAATGGGAGATCCAAACATTGTCTTCTGACAAAACAAAAGCACATGGTTTCTTAAGGTGCATTTTCTCGAAGCATGATTCTAGCGATTTTGACTGTACAATTTCGTGAAAGCATTTTATTTTTTGATCGTTTATGTCTAATTGCTCGTAATTACAATAAATTGAATCTAGATATTTTGGGCATTTATCGATATTGAATGTATATTCCTGGAAGCTAGCCACTATTTTTGGAACAAATGCTTTTCTAAAGACAAAATAATCGTCACTTCGGTGGTCTGGGACAGGAATATTATTTATTCTTCTAGTAACGTCCATTTTCCACAATAACGGATGAGTAAATTCTATATAAAATTGAAGCAAAATTTTATTATGCGTTTTGGTTGCTGCAATGTTGACGAGTCGATAATTTTGGGAGTGGAAATATTTTTGGCAGCCAACCATAAGATTATTTTCGTTCATACAGATTGATACAAGCTTCCTGTGAGCCAAATTTCCCGGTGTTTAACTTTGGATACTATTGATTATTTCAGTCACTTCAGTCCTAAAATTCGTGAAATGCTCAAAAATTATATTTCTAAAGTGGTTTTCAGTGATTGCTTCTATCAAGGAACATTCTTGTTGGATTAATTTGTTTAAAGAGACTTTATTATGATAGACGTTTTCCTGGAGATCTTCGATGTTTGATCTCTCATCGGCAATAATATTTTTCAAGTCTTTCGTTGATTGGTAATTCAAAAATGATGTTGACAGCGCTGCCAGGCTCAGAATGCTACCTAACCCGCGGGGTTTTCTATCCAAAACTGGAACAAAGGTTTTAACAGCTGTGATGTTATAAATAACGAATGAGAGACAGTTCCGATTGTAGTCAAACTCGGCGGGGCCCATGCCGGGTTCGTGGCTTGTCTCAAACTCGAAAGTTACTGTTGGATTCTGAGATTGGGAATTCCCGAAAGGTAAGAAAAAATAGCTGTGTTCATCTTTTTCAGTCTCAAGAATGGCTTTTTCGTTATCTGATGCAAAAATTTGAATCGAATTTTTACGAAGTGAAGCTGTATTAAGAAGGACTGCGCCGGCTGGCTCTTGTAACTGGAGTGAGTAAGTCAACCGAATAGTCCCTTTGTCGGTGCTCTCCGACATTGTTCAAGTGGTGAATATCCTGAGGCTCTTATTTGATCAATAATTGAGTCCGAAGTTAGCGTTTTTCGACAATTTTCATTTACACAGATTGCGCTCTCGGAATTTTCTATGAGAATATCTTTAATAACAATTTCTTTTTCATTTTCAAGAAGAGAGAGCTCGTTATTGATCAAATGACGGGCGGATACATCCTCCATGTGGATGTTCTCCAATTTTAGCCAATGAGCGTAGTTACGGTTCATTTCGTGCTCATAGATTTTGCTCAGGTTTTTTCGAATATTAACGCAATTGTGCGTTTCCTCATTGAAATCAGTGAAGGGGGCATTAATGTCGATCACGAAGGTGCGGCGGACCTCGTCGGAGATGAAGTAGGCGCCAGGGCCGTACTCGGATATCTCCAGTCCGCTTTTTATCGGATCGGCGCATGCAACTCTTATAAGAATGAAGGAGATGAAGATTCTACATCTTGTAATTGATCTTCTTCCGAGATCTGAGGTTGTAAGCTTTGTCTTCCTCATTCTCGGAATCTTTTCTACGAATGTTGGTTCTGAGATTTTGGACGTCCAAGGGAGAGTTTGTGATGGGAGTTGGCTTGTCAGAATTTTCTATGATATCATGATTAGTATTAAAAAGTAAATTTTTCTTAGAACTTAGGGTCTCCCTATCTTCTGGAGTCATATCGATTTTGATTAAGTATCGTCGGTTTCGAATAAGCCTTGTGCCCAATAAAAGATGCTCAATATAATAAGCCGAAACTCCTCTTTTCTCCAAAATTTTGTATGGTCCCAGATTAACCTTTTTATGGGAATTAAGGACGTCCGTCTGATTCTTGAGAACCACTATTTCTCCTTCTTTCAGTTCATGAATTCTTTTATCCTTTATAAGAAATTTTTCGCGTTTTGCTCTTGCTAGTTCAAGGTGATAATTGTCTAAAATCTCAACATATTGCAAGATGTCTTTAAAATTAACTGATTCTTCAGTAATTTTGAGAGAGCCAAAGTGGGTTGGAGGGTCGATATTTCTTGCGACCTGGGCTGGGGTTAGTCCCTTAAGCCCTTCTTTGCTCCGGTGGTTGTAAAGATTGCAACTCATTTGCACAACGAAATTTGCATCGCTAAATTTCAATTAGAACGTGAGTTATAAGGGGAAATGAGAGATCGATCGACATGCATGAAAGAAAGTGCTTCATGAACTGCGCAGTTAAGGAATTCACCTCCGTTATCTGAGACGAGTAAAGCTTGCCCTTGGCAGCCGAATTCACTGAGTAGCAATATAATCGCTGGAATGACATCCTGCTTTTTCTTTGACATGACTCTTCGAACAGCGTAATGGTTGGTGTATGTCGGTGCTACCAGACGGTTCGCCCCGAGGAAGAGTACACCTACGCGGACCTCGTGTTGAGTACAACTTAGTGCTTTCGCGTTATTCGCGCTGAGCGTACCTAACTCGAGGTAGAGAAACGGAAGTCCTGTTTTGGGCAAGTAAGAGATTGCCCCGGCTAACAGGTCTTTAGGTTTATCCTGTTCCTGGACCGCAGCTTCCTCCATCTTCTCCAACGCCGTCCAAGCCGCCGCTGTGATCGCCAAAGTCGTCACCGTGGTCGCACGCGTTTTACCTGAGAAGGTGGTTAACTGCTGTACAGAATAAACCAGTTTCGTAACGCCAGTTCTGGTCACGAGAGTGTTGATATTGCAGGTTTCGCAGGGGTAAATTACGTGGTGACTGAAGTTCACAGCAGGAGTTACCTGACTCTGTGTTGAGAACTTCGGGAACGGACCCCGCGCGGCCACATTATCAAACCTCGAGCCTTGCCGTTTATTGCAAGAAGCTACCATGAATAATATGTTTCTCGCGCCCAAAGGGCACGAATTTTATACAGGGAAGGCTTTAGTCCCTTTAGCATTCACAAATAGTGATGCAGCAGTGCGTGATCGGAAAATCATTGCATGGAAGGATCACCTGGTGACAGTCGCCACGAACGACGTCCGGAAGTCCTTAAAGGACAATCGGTTTGTGGATCAAATCGCTAACCTCCCCTTACATGGGGTGAGAATAATGGTGAGCTGCCGTCCACGGTAGGACGGTTATCGATACCGTCTACTCTCCAAGAGTTCGAACAATGGAGAGTAGCAGGTCGATACGCGGGACACCCGAAGTTGGAAAACGCGAAGTTGTCGGATAATGAAGACGGATTTGTCGACTTCAACGGTCAGACAGCCGCGGAGAGCGAAACCGCGTTTAAAGAACATCATTTTCCAGGTGTTAATTTGGCGTTGAAAAATTATTTCATTGTCCAAGCAGGCTTCACCAAATCCGCGTGCCAGGAAGCGCTGGATGTTCTCCGGCTGGTTTGCTCGACGATCTGCAATAATGTGGAGGACAGCTCCAAAGAGGACCTAAAAATGGTTACTGCATCAATCTAAACCAATATGTCCGCATGATGATAAAGAATTTCTGTGGTAACGCGGGAAAAAATGATTTTTGAGCTTTATAAAGTATCTACGCATCCTTGGAAGGGGCGAATTGAGCCACGTTAAAACAGGCACACTTTATGAGGTCTCAAAAAAGGTATTTAAGAAGGTGATGACCGATAACGCGGTAGTAGCTGGACGATTCCCGAAAGGGACGCCGATGACTGTGTCTATCTTTCGCGAACAATACTGTACAACTCCGTATAAATTTGGCCCTCTGGCAGAATATTTCCTGTTGGGTTTGTGTACACTTGGGGTGCATGAATCCAAGTGGAAAGAAATCCTGGAGAAAATTTGTGTAAAAGAAACATTGAGTTCCGCGAGATGGATGGACGCGACATCATCTGCGAAAAGAAGCTTTTCCTGGATGAGTTAGAGAAGGCAAAGCAGTCTACTTCTCACGTAGAGTTAAGTCAGATAGAAGTCGCGTTGGATGTTGACGATGGAGGGGACTTCAAATGCGCTGGAAGGTACAAAACAACGAATGCTAAAAATTTTTAAATGAAATTTAGAACCACGCGATGTATAAGAAGCAATCAAGGATACGCGCCTCGAAATTATAAATGGTCCGCGGGGAATTATCTTCCTGTTGAGTTCAATTAATCTAAGCAAAGAAAAAGCCCGTTCACGTAGCGAGAAAACGCGTAATAAAAATAAATTAATTCAGACCTCATACGCGCAATGAACATGAACGTGGACGGCCGAAAGGCGTTAAAGAAGCAGGAAGAAAAGGCCAAGACGCGGAGCGAGGAAAAGCAGCGCGCCCTTAAATGTAAACGCGAAGGTTAGTTCAAAAATCTTTTATTCTTAATCAAGTGAAACGGTGGATTCAGTACTAATGTAGTAACTGCGAACAGTACACAGTAAGAGAGTTAAATGACACATTTAGAAGATGATGCAGACGCGGAATACAAATTCGCGCAACCAATAAAACGTTCGCGAGCGCGGAGAGGACAGTTACGAGCGGCGGAATGGGCGAAGAAACATTTCGGTGTATCCCAAGGAAGGGATGAGCTAGCAGGTTTACTCGATAGCGCGGTAACGGCCAAAGCCACCAAGAGGGCTGGGCAAATCGCGGTATTGCTGCTGCTGACGCTCGACAGCACGGCTACCAGGCCATCGGAGATTGGCTTGCACGCGGCGGTCCAGGGGTGGAACATTCTGCTCCAGCTGAGAAAAAGGACAGCGGTCCATCGAAGCCCCGGCGGCCAACATGGATGATAAATGTCGCGTGCCCAAAAACGCTTCGATCGTGGGGAAAGGGGAAAGATACGAGCGTGCCCTAGAAGGTTAAAAATAAATGGCCGAGCTAGGAGCAAAGAAATTTACCGGCTTAAGAGAATGTGTCGCGTGGGAAATATTTGAGTTCTTCGTTTCCACGGCGGACCCGGGTGATAAGGGGCTTGTAGATGCCAGCATCGCGAATGAATTGGAGGAGTAAACGCCAGATTCCGTGGTAGAGAGCGAAGTCCGGGCTGGCGTAAACGGCGATGAGATAATAAGCACCAGCCGCGTAATAAGTGTACTGCTCATTCTTAAATAAGGTCATAAGTCGCGAGTCGAGGCGATCAAGCAAAAGACACCGCCGTCTGATGCGAAGAAAATCGGCTTCACGGGATCAAAAAGTAAGTTACCTCTCCCATGAACGAATGAGTGACGTTGTTATTGTAAAAATAGCAGGCGAGCATCTTCAGCAAGGAGAGAGCAGGGAGAGGAAGGAGCTGAGCGCGATTTTTAAGATTAAACGCGAGAAGCTCTAAAGAGTGATGTTTAAAAATTCTTTAGGTCGTAAAATGGAACTCACTGTAAGAGTTGTCGTGAGGGAAGACCGTAAATTCTCCGTGGTCGAATCTCTGACCGCCATCACCCGAGAAGATGGAATCGCCAACAACGGATTTAATCGCGGTAAGAATAATTGCTTGGGGCGAACCCGGGATGCGGAGCTGATCCCGGTCGAAGAGCAGTCGGACAGAAACGCGATTCTGATCGACATCGGGGTTGCGGTTGCAAGCAGCCACGCGCTAGAAAATAGTTTAGAATGAGGACAGTTAATGAATAATTTACCGCGTAGAAAAACTGGCTCCAAAGCAAAAAGATGAGCCAGGGGTTCTGCCCGCGGAAAGAGTAGGCAGTAGCTTCAGCAGGATAGGCCTCAGCGATATGCCGGGGAATACATTTGAGTTCAAAGGAACAGGGCCCAGCTAGGACCCAGTACTTGATCAGCGAAACAACGGTCAAGGTGGCCCACCGGGCCAGCCGCTCCAAGAATCCGCGTCGAAATTTCACCTGAGCATCGCGTGGAACCTGAGCATCAGGGACCTGGTACATAGCAGAGTCCATAGCAAGGACCAGGCCATGAACAGCTTGTTTATTTGAGCCTCTAGTGGGGAGCCGGAAATCAACAGGGACGACAACATCTCGGCCCTCAACGCGAAATCGGAGGCGGAGCTGAAGGCTACCGCGCTGAATTTCTTCGTCTTTGACGCGGGTGAGCAGGATTTCGTCGAGGGCTTTCCGGCCAACAATCTGGTCGTGAACACCAGCTCGGCGGAAAACAATGCGCGCACCGGGAGCCCCATGATCGTACTCAAATTTAGAAAGCGCGGAGGAGTATTCGCGTGGTTGCCCGTTCCGAGTTGCTTTAGATTGCGCGATCAGGCGACGCACCCCGTCAATTCGGCCAACAGACGCATCGACGAAAGTGTCGTAGTTTCTAAAAAGTATTTTTAGTTATGGATGAGTGAACGCGGATTCGAAGATCAAACAACGCGAGATTGGCATTTGAAATTACTGTCATCAGAAATTTAGAAAATCAGTGGTATTTTAAGCTCTCAAAATAAATTAAGAATGGCAGAAAAAGGAGTCCCTCAAATGGACACCGATCGACCGGGAAGTTTTCTCGACATTAACGCGAAAGGAAACGAAAGCCAGCCGCGAAATATGTTTGGCAATGAATCCCGGTTGATGTCAGCCAGCCAATCACGCGCTGCCATTCAGGCAGACATCGAGGATAACAGCCGCGAGGCAGTTATAAATTTACGGATTGGAGTGCGTCTGAACAAGTTCATCGACATCCTGAAAAACGTGAAGGAATTCAAGCTAAACGAAAACGACAGAGAAGTCGCGGCGTTTTTGACTAGCTTGGAGGCGACAGTGAAAAACGTTGCCGCGGGGGAAGAAAACGCGCTGTTCCTCGAGGAAGAGGTAATAATAACCAACAAATTAAAAAAAGCTTACTTGATAATTTCAGAGATGGAATAAGCAGCTCTCCGTTGCCTTTCGCTTGCTGACATTGCGCGCGTCGAGGTAAGTGTTTCTGAAATAAGTACGTCAAATTCAGAAATAGGAGTTGAGGTAACTAGAATGATCCAAAATTTAGGGATTTACTCACCGCGTGGCTAGAGGCACCGAACCGCGTCAATATGTACTGCTCTCACCTGTACGTGGAAACGGACCCGTTTAGTCCCAGGAACAGCGGGTTCAGGATTCGTTTAGCTCGCGTGGAAGGTGGTTCGGCTGGTCTGAAAAAGCTTATTGCTCAAACAATGGCTGAAGTTAGTCCTGAGGACATCGTGGACCACGCTTTATACTGCGGAAAACAGCTCTTGGGCGCGATCGCACCGTCATGGGTAAGTGAACAGTTGATATTTATCAGCCGGCCGCGTCAGATGTTATGAATCGGTCGAGCGCCCGGGGAAGATATGTCACGCGTGATAGAGTTTTAAGATCGACCCGCCGCTGAGCGGAACGCCGAGCGAAGACGAAATCGCGGAATGGGTGGCCAGAGTCAACCAGGAAACGATCAAAACGCGAGAGGGGGCCTTGGAATTCATAAGCCAGCTCGAAGGGATGAAAAACTGGTCTATTGATCAGACGATCTCCTACCTGAGGAATTGGTCGGAGAAGGCGAAGCTCACCAACGTCTTCGCGCTGGACCACCAAAGCGAAACGCCCATCATAACGATCCAGAATAACGGAGAACTTAGAGCTTTGGGAATACGATGGAGCCAGGAAAATAACCGTTACCAGGTGGAGCGCGTGAGAAAGCCCAACTGGTGCTACAATTGGCGCGTAGTAACGGAAGGCCGGAACTTGGGCGAAGCAGACGGAGGTTTCCGCCCACCAAACGCGTACAAACGACCAGCTCCTTCGCGACCCGGCTACGGAAAACGCGGTAGAGGTGGAATGCGCCGCTAAAGGTATACACTTCGATAAAATGTGGGGGACGTAATGGTTGGTGTATGTCGGTGCTACCAGACGGTTCGCCCCGAGGAAGAGTACACCTACGCGGACCTCGTGTTGAGTACAACTCAGTGCTTTCGCGTTATTCGCGCTGAGCGTACCTAACTCGAGGTAGAGAAACGGAAGTCCTGTTTTGGGCAAGTAAGAGATTGCCCCGGCTAACAGGTCTTTAGGTTTATCCTGTTCCTGGACCGCAGCTTCCTCCATCTTCTCCAACGCCGTCCAAGCCGCCGCTGTGATCGCCAAAGTCGTCACCGTGGTCGCACGCGTTTTACCTGAGAAGGTGGTTAACTGCTGTACAGAATAAACCAGTTTCGTAACGCCAGTTCTGGTCACGAGAGTGTTGATATTGCAGGTTTCGCAGGGGTAAATTACGCAGAGAGATGAAGAGAGAAGTCATCGAGCAAGGTAAGGTAGTGGAGGAGTTTGTCTCCAACTGTGAGCTCGATGAGATCGACAAAAACTTTTGTATAGCATGCGTGAGAAGGTTTAAATGAAACGATGTCCTTTTTAGACTTAAATCTAGATGGCTGGACTATATTACAGTAGAGGCAGCCTCCAACTGCTTCTGCGATCGCTTGTGTCTTGTTTTCCAGCCAGATTGGCTCTGTTTTGAGCTTCTCTTCGATCGGTGCCTTGCCTGAATGGGCTGTGGCCACATGGTAAAAATTGACAAAATCCTTCGTGAGGGATTTTGGAATGATCGCGAGAAGATCACCTCTTTTAGTCGAGCGATATAGTAAGCCGTTATGCAATCTGAAAATAGTTTTGTCGATAGTCACTGATGATTTTTTGTGAAGCTTCTCACGAATTTTCGAAAATTTATCAGACATCATCTGATGTTTTTTGATGGTTTCAATATCCACCACTGGTCGTTGTTGGCGGAAAATTTGTGTATTGAGCTGATTGAGAGTTTTATGCTCTTTAGTTATATTTTCAGGGTCAAAGAACCTTTTCTTGACCTTTCCGATTTCAAGGACAGGTAACCTGGAGAGTGCATCGGCGACCCCTATGAGCGGGTGCTCGCCTGGGATATAATGGACCGTACAAAGCGGATATTCAAGAAGCCTAGAAAAAGCAAGTCGCACTCTGCTGCTACCGGAGGTCTTCAGTTTGCACGAGTGCTTGGCACCTTCCAGGGACTTATGATCGCAAAGAAGCATAAATGGTCGGTCTTTTGGGATAAGATCCTCAAAAGCCTTAAGGCAATGACCTAGTCCTATAAGTTCTCTGGCTCGACTTGACAGTAACTGTTCCTGCTTGTCGAGGGCGCGGCTAGCGTAGCCGGCGACGGTTATATTGGTAATAACGTCCTCGTTTTTCGTTAGGTTGCCGATAATGCAACCTGTTCTTGTCAGCGACGTATCTGCGGCTAAAAATAGGCTGTCTGGGTCACCCTCAGAAGGATATCTAAGATGGTCAACGCTGACGCCTTTCTTGATTTCCTCTTTCAGCTCGTCGATTCCTTTTGTTATGGTTTCATTCAGTTGGAATTCCTTTCCTTTCCCAATTTCCTTTGTCAAGGGCTCAAGAAGCGCCGACATTTTGGGAATGAGTCTTGAGTAGTAGTTGAGGGAACCGATGAATCTCTGACCTTCCTTCTGGTTACGAGAATAGTCAAGGTCAAGTAGAGCTTTGACTTTCATATCGTCAGCTCTGATTCCATTTTCAGTAATTAAGAAACCAAGAAAGTTTGCTTCTTCTTTGAAAAATTCACATTTTTGGAGGGCAATGACTAGATTTTGGTCCGACATACGATGAAGGAGTCGGTCAACACATTTATTGTGAAATCTCTCGTTCACAATGATGAAAAAGTCATCAAGGTAATTGACAAGGAAGTAATCCTTGTTCATGCCCTCAGTTCCGCTCATGACTTTATTGATAAAATACTGGAAAGTTGCAGGGCTGCTGGAGAGTCCTTGTGACATCCGCTGATATCGAAATTGCTCTCCTCCGAAAAGGAAGCTTGTTACATCGCGGCTTTTTTCCCGGATGCTAATTGAGTAGAAAGCATTACGGACGTCCAGGCCGATAAAGTATATTTTTTCATGAGGGAAACGATTTTTGAGTGTCGTTATTGCGGAGCTTATTTTTGATAGGACCGATCGAATCGGTAGTGACGGATATTTTGGAATGATCAGTCTGCTGTTAACACTGCGCGGCCCGCAACTTGAGTAATTATTAACGACACGAATGGAATTATCTTTCTTTTACACAAATAATACTGGAGAATTCCAGGCGGAACAAAATTCTTGGATAATTCCGGCGTCTTTAAGCTCTTTGAGCTTCTGCTCGACGCTTTCCTGCATGCTAATATCTATTTTATAAGGCTTAGTGTAGACTGGATCTGAATTGTCTTTCAATTTTAATTCCGTTAGGTAATGAGCCGAAAGTCCAGCCTCACTCACGTTTCGTGAGAATGACCAGCTGTATTTTTTGAGAATTTCTATCAAATTTGCCTTGTATTTACTTGGCACTTTTGCGCAGATCTCATAGATTTCTTTGTCTAAGGGGACTTTTCTAACAAGCTCATTCCGTCTTCTTCTCCATTTTCGTAGTTCTTTTTGGTGAGTGATACGCTCATATGGTTCGAGTTACTTTTCGGTAAGAAGAAAATTTAGGTCGATAGATCTTTTTGGAGCGATAAGAGCCCCGAGGGGTGCTCCCTTTTCGATAATAATTACTGAGTTAGATCAATTTTGAATTTCAACAATTTTATTTTTTAACGATACAGGCATCTGCTTGACAAAAACGTCATTCTCAAGAAATACTTCTTCGGGGTGCAGTATTACTTTCGATTCCGGCGTAAATGTCTTACGGATGCAAAAATATATTTTCCTATTGCTATGTGGCGATAATTCAGTATCACTTTGAGCTACAATTGTGTTTGGTAAAATTTGGTCTGTCTTTTCAAAAATAATAGTCGAAACAACATCTTTGTCTTTTTTGAAGATATTATTAATAAACTTAAGTTTATGGTGTCGAAAATCAATTTTGAAGAAAGATAAGCAGTTCATACCAAGAATAACATTATATCTTATTGGTTCCTCAAGAACATTTAGTGCAACATTAGGGATCTCAATATTAGAATTTTTAATGAATACATTGGCATGCAAAACGTTATATACTGTGCTAATTTGTTCCTAAAATGCATTTGATATTATGTCAGGCTCCTCAAGCCTCGATATTTTCATGCCGTCGGGGATAACCCTTTTGTTAATGTAAGTTTCCCCTGCTCCAGTATCAACAAGGCAATTTGGCAGTTCTAGCTGTTTAATGGAGCCGTCATCTTGGTACTGCTTTAGAATGATCGATGTTGTTGGAGCCATGAGTTATTTTTGTTAAAGCCCCCTCTACGGCTGTCTGCGTTCTTTTTCTTGAAGCACTGGGAAATAACGTGTCCAGGCTTCTTACAGTAATTACTTTGGCCATTTGGCTTGAAGGATTTTTGATCCTTATTCTGCCATGGCTTTTGTGCATTTTGCTTTTTAGAACGACATTCAGGGGACTTCTGGCCTGGACGGCCACACGAGTAGCATTTTATCTGAGAATTCTTTTTCTCAGTTTTCTGGCGACCGTTTTTCTGGTCAAACTTAAGCTTGCGGCAGTCACGTTTTATGTGATTTGCTTTACCGCAGTAATTACAGGTCTTTCCGAAATTGTTTAATGATTTTTTCCCATTATGAAAATTCTGGTTGGTTCTCCCTTTAAAGACATTGTTGATTTCTTGGAACTCGCCGTTTTTATATTTTAAATATAATTGAGAGCATTTATCGACAAGGTCCATTATTTCCTTCCTCTTATCTTTTCTATATTCAAGGAGCATTTCGGAATGTTGAATTTTCTTTGGAAGTTTGTCCAAAAAGTGTTGAAATGAGATAGCTTTCATGGCTTTGTCCGAAATTTGCTCTGTGATGGTGTTTTTTACGAGTTCTTTAACAGCGTAAAAGAAATTTCTAAGGTTTTTGTATTTATCCTCAATGAGGATTCCTCATCGAAGCGGATTTTTTTAAGCATGGATTCATATTCAAAACTGTCCTTTTTGCAGCATTTCGTTAATGTCTGCTCAAAAAGCTCTATTGTCATTTTATCCTCATCTTCCCCGAGCTGTGCCAGCTCAATTATGACAGTTCTTTGCAGGGGCTGTGGAAGATGGGTTGACATATGAGAGACTTGTTTCCATGCGTCTTTTACTCCTGCATAAAAAAGAACAAACTTGCATTGCTTAATCCAAGATTTTATGTTATCCGTTTCGTGAAATTTTGGGAAGTTGTATTTGGTTGAGCTCGACATTTGATTAAGAGATATGTGGGCTCGATCATTTGAGGAACATTCTGAGTCGGAGTCACTATCCATAGACTCATCACCACTCGAAAGTGCTCTGATGCTTTTTTGTAATTCCTCCTCATGCTTGTCTTCAAGAATTGCTTCATCAAGGTTGTCGGGCCCTTTGCCGGGCATTTTCTCAATTTTAGTTTCCTCAATAATTTCATGCTGTGGCTTATCGACAACAAGAAAAAAGTCCTCGACTTAAGTGTCGGAGGGGCTCGGAGCTTCTTCCTTGATGTCCTCATCCTGCTGAGGTTCTGCACTCACCATTTCTGATGCGAGTGATTTTTCTTTATCGGCCTCATCTTCCAGTTCCGCTACCGTTGTATTTAAATTCAAGTTTGAAAGGCTTTGGAGGGTTTCCTCAAGATCGTCCTCGGCTTCGGCGACCTTCTCTTGAAAATTTTGTACGGGCTCTATCTCGATATTATCGAGAATTCTATAATCGGCAATTTCTCCTTTAATGACTCCATTGAGTCGATTGTTTACTGCGGCGAACCTGCTGTCAAGATTAATTTCGTCTTGAGTCTTTATGACAGTATAGTATTAGCCGAATTCCTCCGGCTTTTTTGTAATGCCGGCAACAAGGTTTCTCCAAGAGAAAATCGGAGATTTTTTGCGTACTG